ATCGCCCCTCCCTGGGGCTGGGGTCTATGCACCCTGCAAATGATGCCCTTGCTGGCATCTGCTGCGCCCGTCCTGGGCTTCCTAGTATGGTGCTCCCCCTCTTTAGGGCTCACCATGCCCACCTTGGGCTTCCCAACAGTCCTGTATGGCGCTCCCCCTCTTTGGGGCTCGCCGTGCCCACCTTGGGCTTCCCGACAGTCCTGTATGGCGCTCCCCCTCTTTGGGACTTGCCGAGCCCACCTTGGGCTCTCTGATAGAATCGCCCCACTCTGGGGCTGGGGTCTACGTACCCCGCCCGCAACCCACTGGTTGTGCTCCTCACAGCCAGCTGTACCCGCCCTGGCATTATGAGGATAACGCACCCTCCTGGCGCTGGGGCCCCACTCTCTGGGGTCCCTATGAGGTTCAGCTGCTCTTCTCTGAGCTTAACTGACCCCACAACTCTGCCCTGCAACTCTCAGGGCCTAGTGCGCCCTCACTAGCACCGGGGGCCCCACTTTACCGTGAGCCCCCCCTATGAGGCCTCTTCCAACCCCTACAGCCTCACCCAAACCTCCGGTGTAATATTAAAGCCGAACATAAACTCGAGCCTCCTGGCTATAACTCAAACATAAAGCCTCCTGGCTAAACCATGGTGCCCAAACCTCTCAGAGCTGCCATCCTTCTCTCAGCTAGAGCAGTTCCTGCATCGCTCACCTCCTAGCTCCTGCCCCTCTGGCTGCTGGCAGGGAACTGCCAGCCTGGCCTCAGCCCTGGGCTTTATAAGGGCCAGGCCCTGCCCCCTACAGGCAGCTGGCTCCCCTTAGTTGCTCCAGCAACCCGCAGCTGCGCTTATTATCCTGGCAACCCTCAGCTGGGCTTGTTGTGCTCTGCCAGGGCTCTCTCCCTGGCAGTTTTCTCCTCTCTAGGAGCAGGCACTAAGGTGCCCTGCGACACTCCCCTTATGTTAAGGTTAATTATAGAGGTAAGAATTTTTGTGGGTGATAGCTCTTATTGGACCAACTGTATAGTTGGGAAATATACAAGCTTTCCGGTACCAAGTACCCTTCCTTATGGCTGGATAATCACAGATATTTGGCTTGAGCCATTTTAGGAATATGCCCTAGTTCCAAAGTTCAGATCAGGTTCTGCATTTAAACTTACTTGCCACCCTCCTGTTTTAATTGTGGGTGCTGAAACTGAAAGATCTAGGTGTATGTAAAGGTTATGGGAGTGAAAGACAGGAAGGGCCAGACTGTGTTAGACATATGCTCCATCTAGTACATTTGTCCTGTCTCCAACAGGACCAGATACTTCACAGCAAGGTTTTAAAAACATGTATAGGATAATCTGTCTCCCAGGCAAATCTCTCCTGAACTCCCAGTACAGCTTGGCATTATCATGGAAGCATGAAATCTTTTAATTTTTTTTAGTATATACTGTAATAATTCTAGATACTCTTGTTTTCCACATTAGTGTCTAATTTATTTTTGAATCTTACTAAATACTTGTCTTCCGCATCCTATGGCAAGGAGTTCCACAGTCTACTTGTGCCTCTTATGAAAATGTATTTTCATTGATCAGATTTAGATTTAGGTAATCTAACCTTCCCACCTCCCCCCATGAACATTTCTTTGAGACCCCAAATGAGCCATTCTTAGGGGTGAAAATGGTTGCTTCATTTCTTGGCATTTCTGTATGACATTTTTATAAGCCTTGGTGTTTTGAAATGATGATCAGGGATCTGTGCGGGCCAGGAGCGGTCCGAGGCCCTCGGGGGCCTGTGCGCGGCGGGCTGTGGCCAGCAGCCCGGACATGCTGGGTCGCGGAATGCAGGCCGGCGGGCTAGAATTAGGCACGGACGCTTAGCAGTTGATTAAAGATTATTTTACTTACACCGAAGATGGTCACGGTGCAGGCAGGAAAACTTGCTTGAGTTGCAGTTACAAAACAAAACTCGAACCTGCAGGGCATGAGAGTACGTCGCAGGGGGTTTTCAGCGACCGGAAGATGCAAAACATGAGAGTACGTCGCAATGGGTTTTCGGCGACGGGAAGATAAACCTGCAGGACTCAAACCCGGGTAGAGCTCTGGATACACTCACACGAAGTTTGCTAGGCTCCGTGGAACGTGCGCGCAGGGAAGGGGTTCGTCGAGGGATCGTTCGGCGACGGGGAGAGGCCAGAGGTTGATCAGACCCCTATAGCCTGCGCTGGGTTCAATAGGCTCCGCAGCGCTTAGAGATCTTCACAAGACGTGAAGTTCTCCTCCTCCAGATGGTTACGGAGTCCTCCCTTGCGGGGGTTCTCCTCGGAGTTCTCCAACTGGGGCGGAAACCGCTCAAGCCTCTTATACGGCTAGCAAGCCAATCACTAGCTGCCACGTGGAAATAATTTAGAACTGGCCAATAGTGGGACACAAATTTGCATGCGAATGGCGGGAACTCCTTTGCACCGTGCATTTCTCTTTGCAACTAAGAAATGCACCCTGCAAAGAAAGCTCCGAGTGGCGGGAAATAATTTAGCAGTGCCGAAGTGCACACAAACAAAATCGCACCCTTGGGTTGTGACAGGATCAATCAGAAGTACGAAGCACCAAGGATCTTCATAAGATTTGGTGCCTAGTTTTATACATCCAAAAGATTTTGATACAGAGGTTTAAATATGCTTCAGAATTTTTGGCTGCTTATCTGACATGTAAAGCTTTTGAGGTTTAATACTCTGCAACAATAATACCTTCAGTTTAAAAAATGCCTTCATTTCTTCACTATGATCACATCAAACTATTTGTTTCTCATAAATTCCCTGCAATCTTGTCTCTCTTTCTTCTGTTCACAAACCATTAGTTTACCTACTTAGTTTTCTATGAATGGATAATGATACTACGCTGAGTGATTCTCAATGAGTATTCACTGAGTGATACTACAGATTCCCAACCAAGAATGAAGTCACAGACTGTTCACTTCCAATATTTGTGCTATATTACTGTCTGTTATTGTATCATGCTTTACTAACAGGAGGACAATGAATCATGAGCAGTGATTATGTGCTTATAGTACAAATTCTTGGATTAATAATAATTTGTGTTCAATAGATGGGCCACTAGGCGTCCTTTTCCATAGCTCTGGTATTATTGGGTATCCCAGTTTATTGACAGATGAGTCAAGATAATTAGACAGCTGGTGGCCTAGAGTTTGTAGAATGTCAGCAAATCTAGAGATATTGGATGACACATTTTTATAATTGAAAAAAGGCTATTGGCTCAGTAAAATTCCTTTACTGCTGCCACTTTGGACATAAACACCATATTCAAAACACCATTTCCCCTAGAAATCTAGGGATTCTGAGGAGCATACAATATTTGGTCTAACTCTCTTCTACTTGGCTCTGTTGCAAAGACTTTTAAAAATCCCACCGCTGAGGACTCCATCCCACACCGCCCATGATCTGATGCTGCTGTATAAAACCTACACACATCCCAGGATAGAAATCAAATCTTCCCAAGCTTTGAGTCCAGACCTGAACCTTGTTGCATTGGCCCACATCTAGTTAAACCCAGAAGTCCCTGGAAAAATCTCAGGCCTTTCAAAATGCTTCTTTTATCTTCCTAGACATTTAAACATAGGCGCTAAGTCATGTTCTAGTTAAAAGACTCTATTAGTCAGTTAAAGATCTTGTAAAAATGTTACCACAGGGTTTCCTGTTAATTTTCTCTTACAAATTAAATTTTTATTTTCCTAGCTGCTAGTGCTACCGTCTGAAGAATCCAACTGTTTTCCTTCCCTCTCTGACATGAAATTTATAAGCAGCACTTAGTGGAGACTTTCATAGGTGGTTTATAAGATCCAATAATGTTTAGTTGGTCAGTGTGAGCTAATGGGTAGTGCTGGATTAGGACCTCAGAACAATGAGGTTCTGATTCTTGTTTTATTCCTGAGGTGCTATGTAACCTTCTTCCCTCTGGTCCCACTTTTATTGATTGAGATAATCAACATCTCAGGGCTGGAAACATCCTATGTCTGATGAGTGCCCAGCAAAATCATAGGAATCACAGGAAACTAGGCCTGAAAGGGACCTCACAAGGTCATCTAGTCCAACCCCCAGTTCCAGGGAGGATCATCCCAGCCTAATCATCCAGCCAAGTCTGTCTAACCTGATCTTGAAAACTTCCAAGAATGAAGATTCCAGTTTCTCTAGGTAGCCTGTTCCAATACTTGACTACCCTCTTAGTCAAAGAGTTTCTCCTAATCTCCAATCCAAATTTTCCCTCCTGCAGCTTGAGACCAATGCTTCTAGTCCTGTTCCCTATGGTTATGGAGAAAAGCCCGTCTCCATTCTCTCTGTAATCGTCCTTCAGGTATTTAAAGACTGTTATCAAATCCCTCCCTCGGTTTTCTCTTCTTCAGACTAAATAAACCTTCTTTCAGCCTTTCCTTGTAAGTCTTCTCTCAGTCCTCTAGTCATTTTTGTTGCTCTGCTCTGGCTTCTTTCCAAAACTGGATGCAGTATTCCAGGTGAGGCCTCACCAGTGCTCAACAGAGCTGAAGAATCACTTTCCTTGCTATGCAAGTGATAGTCCTGTTAATACAACCCAGTATGCTGCTGCCTAGACAAGGCTTATATTCAATCGTGTATTGCATGGAACAGTTCTCCATTAGCAAGGGCATGGACTTGTCCTTCTTATTATTAACAGTATTCTAGGATAGCTGTGTTTGCATAGATCCTAATAAAGGCATTCTGCAATATGAGGCATCCATATTTCATTACATTATTCCATTTGACCCAACAGTAGCCAAAGAAATTCTTGAACTGGCCTGACTAGCAACAAATGTGATCAGAACATCAGAAAGCAGCAGGCTCTTGCTTTGTGAGTGGTGCAAAATTTCTCTTTCATCTGTGAATGAGCCCAAGACAGGACGAGACCAGGACTCAGATTGCTGTCATGGCAGATGAGTTAGGTTATATTTTGTGTGTGTGTCTTTATACAAAACAGGTTTGAATAGCGCTGGAGTGGAACATCAGATTCTCCCTGTGTTCAAATGGGATGGGAGGGGTAAAAAGATACAGCAGCCTCACATCCAAACAAGAAACACATACGCCTGTTAACACAGCAAATATTCCGAACTACAAGGCTGGAGGTAGAGGAAAGCAGTGACAATGAATAAGGTAAACTCAAATGAAACAAACATGTGAAATGTCTCTGCATCGGCAGTAGGTTGGTTACTGATGAGCCTTACAAGACGAAGGGAGAATCTGCATAAAATATTCTGAGAGGAGCATGGGTAGCCGGTTCCACACCAGATAACAATTTGACAATCACCGAGGAAGAATGCCTCTAACCTTCATGAAACTGAAAGGACAGGAGAGAAATGAGCCAGGCGCCAGTGTCATGAAAATCACAGCCTCAGCGATTTGGATGCATTTCATTCTGCGGAAGAGTTGTATGTGGCTGAGGGAGAATAAACAAAAAGTTGGGAAGCTGTCTGCAGTGGCATGGAATATTTATGTTAGGCCGTAATAACACACTGCTATCCTCCAATAAAAGGTGCAAAGAATTTAACAGACATTCATTAATTATGCCCCACAATGCTTCTGTGACATTACTGAGCATTATCTCCATTTTGCAGATGGCTAATCGGTGGCATAGAAAGGTTAAATGATTTTACCCAAGACCACACAGCAACCAAGCTCAGAAGTGAACCTAAGATTCCTAATGCCCAGTCACCCCCTAAGTATACACTGTAATTAA